GGAGCATGTCCTTTCAATATAGACACCATTTCATCCTGCTCTAGTGCACAACTTTATGAGGCTACATAATTGAATTGTTATGGCTTTTAACGTGTGCTCGTTTGATAGTTGGCTATTTAAAGACAATGTTTTCTATAAAATAAAGATAGATAATATAGTTCTAATAATCTAAGGACATTTCATTAATATATTTATTAACGATATATCTTTGAGATATGAGAAATAAAACTGACATTGGAGAATGAATGTGTATGAAATTCAATTTAGAAAATATTTCCATGCTTACGGATGAAATATTTTCTTTATTAAGCACAACATTACGACTTCAGATATTTCATAACAAAAAAGTCTCTTTGATCTGTAGGCTTTGTCATTATTTTTTTTTTTTTCATTTTTATTAGACATTTATTTTATCTCTGACTATAAATATTTTCAAAATAATAAAGCTTGGAAGCACTTACTAAAAGACAAAACATTTATATTTGATTAAACTCTTGAGAAAAGTACTTTGCTACATTTGACAGCCGCAAACTAAAATTTGCCATAATAAAATATTCGTACAGCAGTAATTTCCTACTGAATACATTTATCCTTGGCATGCCATTTTAAATTTGCACGAACTTTTAGGCAATAATATCGTCACACTTGGCTTTTATTCGCCACAAACAACGTTTATCAATAAAGGCACAGACAAATACTATTTTGAGAATATTAAGTAGCAAAGTATTCTTACGCGACTACTATCTACAGGAAAACCATGTCCTTGACTTGTCATTTGAGTGCTGGCATGCAAATGTGGCTGATACCTTAAAAACTGAAAGACAAGAATAAGAAATAAAACCTTGCTGACATTTAGCATATGTTGCCACAGTTATTTATTACACTTGCGATTAGTTTAACCTCAATTTCAACTTTGTGCATTTGTTCCACTCCACAAAACTTATCCTATTCTGATACTTGAGTGTCCTTCAAATTTCTGATTTACAGCTAAGTTGCTGACGTTGAGAGTTGGGATTCTGATTGCCGAGTTTTCTTCGTAATAAAAACCGTTTTCTGGCTAAACTGTGAATTTTCTATAGCACATCTTCGATATCTGCAAGGGTGTTAAAACTTCGGCAGACCTCAGAAAACTATACATCCCCTATTTGGCTGCAGGTAGTAAACAACATTGAATATGCGTGGCAAGAACTTTTCAAAAAGCTTTCTTAGTGTTTCCATCAAATGATAGCCGCTGGTTAGCTTGGGCAAAAAAAAAAGAAGAGCTATCTTTTCTCTCGCACACTTTGTGCTGCTCAAGCGAACAAGGATAACTGTCGAATGTGAGCCATGAAAAATAATTGAAACCCAGCAACGCCATGAATTTGAGGCGTCTCTAGTTGCTGCATGTGTCGGCAATTTAATTTATTAAATGCAACAGCTTTTTGTAACTAATGAAAATGTACTTAATTTGAGACTCTCTTCGCTCAAATTACTTGGAACAAGAACGCTTTCTGCTTAACTAACCCCCCCAACCTGCCTGCCACAAGACGTTAAAAGGGGCGTGGCATCCTTGTGCTCTTGTATTTCAGGCGATGCACATACACCATTATTGTTTTCCGCCAATGTTGCTGAAATAGTCGAACAGCATTTCTCATGTTGTAGACAACAATATTTGTTACTTCCGCCAGACCGGGAAACTGCTCGACTTTTCCGCTCGACTGCATTCCAAAAGTGAAACAGCTGCAACTTTTACGCTTTCGCTTTTTTAGCCTGCTGAAAATGGGGCACGGCGAACAAGAGCAAGCTGCCAACAACTGCAACTGGCGTCCACGAAAGTTGCCAAGTTTTGGAGGTGAGCCACGGTGGGCAATTTAACTGTTGCAATTACTAACAATTGCGGCAACTCTTGCCACGCATAAAAGTAAAAGCTGTTGCACTTAGAGGCGGGCACAAAGCTCCACTTAACAGGCACAACACATCAGAACAGCAGATAATGCGGCACTTATCCAAGTTTTAGCCACTCTTTTAACTAACTTTCTGTTGGCAATTTCAGACTGGCTTAGTTGCACAAAAGTTAAATACTTTTTGGTCATGTTTGACTCACGTTAGCACCAAATGGCACATTCAAATATTATTATTATCGAAACATGAACCAAATTACGAGAAAATGTAAATTATGGAATAAAATACGTTTAAATTTTTATTTAATATACAATATCCAATTATTGAAAGTAATAAACAAGTTTGATGAGTTTTATTTGTTTCAACATATTTATTTTGCTTTAGGCCAACAATTTTTCACCAAACCACAATCCGCACTACAATTTCTTATGTGTCTCAATTTTCTCTGTTTGTGCAATCAGTTGAAAATGTAATAAATTGCAAATATGTAGGAAATGAAATGGAAATGCACATTTAGCAATATTTTCTACCCTTGCATCAATAAATTCAAACACACAACACAATAATAGCAATTCAAAGAATGTGAATGTGAATATTTTAGCTCTTTGTATTTAATTATTTTGGGTCTACCTGCCAAACCAACTTTGCAGGTTACCACAACAAAGTCGAAAAGTGCACACTTTTCACTGCATTGTGAAAAGAGTTTGAAATCTGATTTGGTCAGTGTTTGGGTTTGGTTTTCAATTGGTGAGTGAAAAACATATCTGCTAACACTCAAATCGAAATGCAAATGCTATTAGCGCTGCACTGGCTTAAAAACTTTTACATAATTAATAATTCATAATAAATTGATGCAAAAATGCGCCAAATAGAAAATAGTCCTGTATTAGAAATGTAAATTAAATTTGTGCTTGAATTTCATTAGATGTGCCGCAGTGCAAACAAATATGGAGAACACAGCAACAACTAATGCAAAATATGCAAATATTTTTATTTATATTTGTTATATTTGTTTTTCAAATAAGACCAACAATTGCCATAGCAACCAGCTGCAGCAACAATGCTGACAGACACTTTAAGTCTCAGCCTTTGCATTGCTGTCAGTTTAATAAAGTGGTTATTGTTGTTCTTGACTGTCAAAGGAGTAGCAGTTTAATGCATTGGTAGGAAGAAGCATGTCAAACATATACTTTTCAGTTTCTAATTAAATTTTATGGTTGCCGCCAGCAAAAGTTGCAACTTGAGTGCTGCTAATGATGATGTTGCTGCTACAGTTTGCTGATAATGCAAGCTGCTTACTAATTTATACATGACATGCTCCACAACAAAAGTCGTGTAAGTGTGTGGCAGATACAGTCAGCCCATAGCTTCCACAGACAATGCCAGTTCATTTATCTACGAGTCTGCAACACAACAGCAACAGGATGCGTGCGAGACACACGAACGGCCGACAACAGCAGCTGGATGGCAATCAATAAATCCCAGGCCCTAGCTCCTGTTGATGCATAAATGCACAGAAACTCACACACACATATATATATATATATATGTATAGACAGACACACACAGACATCTCTCCACGCATACACACACATTCTGTGTGGGTTGATTGCTGACGTCCGAACTGCAAAATTTTCGCATCAGTAGCAGGCGCAACAGCAACAGTAATGGCACACAGCAACTGGTTGTTGCCATGACGACCGCACCAGGAGCTAAGGGATGCTTTTGGAGTGGTGCGGGGCGGGCCATTGCACCCCATGCGGCTCCAGCTCCAGCACCAGCTCCAGTTTCAGTTTTGAGTTGAAGCTGCTGACGTTTTGCTAATGGAAAAGTACAGTTGAGCCAAAGAGCTCCTCAGGTGGCTCGGGTGTTGCCAGGTTAACACTTGCTAACCGAAGTGCCCTAAACATGCATTATATATGCGATATATAAACCCCAGATGCACAATGCCAGAGTGCGCATTTAGATTGACTGATGAGCATAGTTTGCTACACAAACCAGAGTTTGACTTTTTGTAAAAGTATGTAAATAATAACTGTTTGTTGAGGTTTCTCAGTTAGCCTTACACCTACATACGTTTTAAACTCAGAAAAAATCGTCATCAATTTTAGAAATTCATCATACGTTTGTCGCCAAGGGTAACTCACCTTATTATGTATGAAAGTAAGTTTCTGAAACCCAATTCTTTTTTCACTTTCAGTCTAACTTTTTCTAAAATGTAGATATATATCTCATTTTCAGAAGAACAAATCAAGTAGTTTGTTATCTATATTAAATTAAAAATTTGTATTTTAAGATTCTAAATTTACAGATCAATTTAAGTAGCTTATAAATTTATATAATTGATTTTAAGCCAGCGCCCCATTTGATTAATTTCTTCACAATAACAATATACTTTTAAAAAATAAAAAAAACTTGATAATTATGAGATTTTCGACTTAGGGAACTTTTTTAATTTTTAGACATTTTCTTTATATTTATAAGTTAGTTCTAACAACAAGAACAGCTTTCTAGTTTTCGGGGCGATTTTCATTTTAAATTTTCTAAAATTCTGTGCGATGCAAATCTTGCAACGGAAATTTACATGGCATTAGAAAGAACTGAAAAAGTCAAATGATAATTAAGTTTTCATGTACAAAGCAAGCACAAATATGAATATAATTCAGGATTATAATAAAGTTTTTGTTTCGATGTGTAACGGTAATTTGATTACCTAACTTAAACTCGTTTAGCTTGTCACAGTTTTGTCTGTTTCCGGTCAAACTATCGAGTGACAAAATACAAGCACACACACACACACACACACACACACACACCACACACACAGGCACATGCAAGTTTATATAAGCCTGTAAGAGTTGTGTGTGGTTTTACAATGGGTGCAATTGGTTTATGCTCGACACGAAACTAGTTAAAAACATGGTTGCACTGCAAATCTTGTTAAAAGCTGGCCAGCAAGGCAGATTTGGGATTTGGATTTAGTTTGTCGTGCAAACTTTTTAATTAAACTAGTATATTTGTTGCTGTTGTCGCACGCATCGAGAGTGTCCCCAGAGTGTGTGCAGTGCGTGTGTGGCAGTGTTACAAAGTGGTTTTTTTAATGCCTGTTTGTGACTTACCAACATTGCCCTCCGCCTGCACAAAATCTCCATGCGTGGCCAGCAACAGCAGCAGTAGCAGTAGCGTTGCCCACGAACCAAATTGCAGCTGCCTCGAGGATTTCCTCAGTGCGTCCAGATTGATGCATAGGCGGCTCAGGCCGCTGCCGCTACGCAACGCTGATTTTGACGTTGACGTTAACGTTGCTGCTCTGCTCCTGATCAATAGACGACGGTGCTGCTGCTGCGATGTGGTATGCGTCGTCTGAGTTCGCAATTGTTGTTGTTCAAGCTCAAATTCTTGTTGTTGCTGTTGCCGTTGCAATAGCTGCTTAAACCATGCTCCTTGTTCTTGTTGTTGGCACACGGCTGTTCCTCTACCTGCCACCTGCTGCTGCTGCTGTTGCTGTTGCCCTCTAGTTGTTGTATTGTATTGCTGCCACACTTGTTGCTGTTGCTGTACATTGCTTGCCATGATAATCGGCCCACCTGTAAGAAAATATGGTGGTTGGGGCATTACTTATTTGTCGGTTTTCCCTACGGAAATTGGCAAAAATGTAACTGAATATTTAATATAATTTTTACAGTGGCACAAATATATGTTTTCAGTAGTAAACTTTCAAGCATTCGACCTTTGACCACTTTGCATTGCCAACAAAATGTATTTACTTAAATAAAATGTTTTTTCCACTTCGTGCATTAATCATTTCATCGCATTTGTGGCATAATTTGTAAAGAGAATCCCCGCTGTCTAAAAAATTATCAATTTCCGCAGAGGTTGCAACAAAAAAAAACTTTACAATTTTAATCATTTATCATGCGCACGATAACAGGAAAGACTAGCTGAGTCTTGGAAACACTGTGCGCTCTGCGTGAGTGGGTGTACAAATTTAAGTAAACGTCTTTTTGCTTTCCTGTATTGCTCACAATGTTTAGTTCAATATGTACAATACACAATCAACCTACATCCTTGGCGCCTTGGGGATACACACATTTAAGGTTAGGGGGGCCGTGTGAAGTTGTTCAGTATTGTTGCGCTGCAGTTTCCGGATTTTTCCCAGCGCTCCTTTTGTGCGCCCTTACAAATAATTCTTCCTGTTTATATGGTAATAAATGTCAGGCTTCATTTTCCAAAAGCGCCAGAAACACACTGCCAAAAGGGAAATTGATTTTCCTTGCCGCTTCAGTGGGCAGGCCGTCGTTACCTGCCCCATTCTTTCCCTTCTCCTTCTCCTTCACCATCGATACCTTCTCAGGGGTCCTTTTCTCATTGGCTTACATATTTTCTCGAAACGGAGGTCTTAAACTACGCATTGTATTTCATATTATTGCTAAACACTGGACTGGGCACTGTCTCATCAACTGTCGCCCCGTTACACACAACTCTGCTCAAGCTTAATCCCCGCGTCCCAACCAAAAACAAAACAACAACAACAAAAATGTCCACAAAATGTTGAACAAGGTGTGACGAAGGCCATGGAAAAACAAAAAAAAAAAAAAAACCGATATACAATTACCTGTCAATCTGTCCTAAGTCAAAGGAAAACTATAAAATAAATAAATGCCAAACTTTTATAGCTAGGCGAATAAATATGGGTGTTCGTTTTTTCTTTCTTTCCCTTTATCAAATAATTCTTTTATTTGCTGAGGGAATACACTAAATGCTGACCAATGTGATGAACTGTTTTAATAAAATGCAAAAAGCTTCCCTTAAGATGTTTGACAATAGAGGGGTTAATTTGTTAAAGATTGGGTTAAGTAAAAGTCTTAGGTTTTGCATAATTTATATGGGATTTGGGTCACAAAGCAGTTAATAAAAATGAATAAGAAATAAATGTTCAAAAATTCAAAGTAATCTGGTATTCAAAGTATGCGTCTTATTTAATTCAAATATACATTTTTACATCTTCCAATATGATACCTTTTCAATCCTTTATTCTGATACGAAATGCACAATAGTTCATTTAGTATTCATTTTACAAGGGTTAGATTAGACTTTATTCTTTTTTGACGGCTATCAAGCTAATAAAAGCTTCTTAGCAAAAATGTTTGTGATAAAAAACCATGAAAAAGAACTTAATTAATTTAATTTTTAGTCGATAATGATAATCAATGAAAAGTGCAGATTAGTCAATAATAAACATCTAACTAAAGAAAAGACTAACACATAAAAGATAAGCAAAATAACCATAAAATGGGCAACAATATTAAACCAAAATTTGTATATAGCCTGAGGAATATTCAAGACTTGTTTTAATTTAAAGTTAATTATAAATTTAAATGATGCCAATAAATTACAAGGGAACTCAGTTGTTAGCCTGCTGAACTGTGAAATTGAACGAATGCCGAGTATTGTGAATAAAATGAATATATTCGTAATTACGTATTCTGTTTGCTATGTGCTATTGGCGCAGAAGTTCAACTTTCTTGGAATTAAATCAAGTTTCGGTCGTCCTTTCTTGTTCTACTTGCACACCCACACACAAACACAGAAGTCAAAACCCTTTAGGATACCAGCACATCATATGTTTTCAATCATTTCGCATAAGCTGCATGATTAATGTGCTTACAGATTCGTTCCCACCCAAGCAGGACTTTATTGCCTTGACATAGTTATTCCCAGGACGTAGCGATGGCTATTATTCCTTTTCACTCTCGGATTCGTCTTGGCTCTTTCATTTTTCATGCGTCTCCCTATGCCATTACACTCTGAGAAAAATATGACCTAGAACTAAAAAAACCGAAAATCTTTCGACGCCAAAGCCGGATCATCTTATTATTTTTTATTTCTATGAATTGTAGTAAGAAAGTTTCGAAAAAGGATTTGCTTTGAAAAGGAGCAAAACTACTCTCCTTTCAAGATTTATTTTCATATTTTTTGAGTGTAGATGCGAAAACTAAACTTCACTAAACTGGGCCTCAATAAGTTGAACAAGCCTTCGGCGTCCCATTGCCGCATGACATTGCAACATATGCGGCGGCATAATTAATCATCGCTCGAACGTGCCAGCCTCAAAGTTTTCCCACCCAGCCCACTGAAGCCTACACCCCCCCAAAAGTCCGCAGGCAAAGCCTGGTGCTCGGAAAACTTACATAAGCTCTTTATAATATTATGTACTAATATGAATTTATTGCGCGTAAACGGAATATTTGATTAGCCGACAACTAAAGAATCAAATTAAGTGACGCCGCAAAGCGTTCTACATCATTTTGCTTAGTATCTTTTAGTTCACCATTTTATAATTTATGCAACTCAATTAAAAGCCCACCTAGCGATAAACTTTAATAACTGCAAAATGCTGAGCATTCCACCTTTTATTTAAAGTCCACTTTCCACCTCATGTCCCTCTTTAATTAAAAATGCCGAGCAATTAAAAACGCATCAGTGTCTGCAGGAAGGCAGAAGAAGAAAAAATAAATAAACGGAGCGCAAAAAAAAAAACAAAGTTGCACAGACAAAATGAAAACTACGTAATAAAAACGAGTAAGTGCCGTTCCTGGCTTTGTCCACGACAAAGAAAAACTCTACTAAATTCCCATTCAATTTTCAATTCTTAACGAACGATTTTAAGCAATGGAATAAATTATTAATGGCTTTCAATAACACTCAAATCAGTGGATTATAATCTGGATATTAAAACCCAATTGCCAAATACATTTTCTAATCTTGCTCATTTGATTTAGTCACCCAATTTTTGAAGAAAAAAAGTGAAAATCAATATTATTGTTATCAAATAGTGGCTGTAAACATTTTCAAATACTCTAGCAACAAGTTTATGAGAAAGTTTATATTTAAATTAAGAGCAAACTGCTGCCTTAAGTTGCATATAGACATAAATACGAGTATGTCCTTTAATTGCGCGGCACCGCAAGTGCACTTGTTTCAATGAGTCTGTTGCATGGCTGCATGCCGCAAATGCCACAGCTATGGCCAGAGGAAGCGCCTTTATTTCTTTTGCCATTTTTCGGTTAAGTACACGCAGTTCCAATTCACTGCCCCGCCTCTCCATCCTCTTTGGCAGCCATACGCCTCGTTGCGCGCATAGCTGCAATTAAAATTCTGGAAAATTACTTTAAAATACATTTGTTGCGCTTGTCAACTGGCTGCGTTGCTGTTTTTCTCTGCGCTTTTTGTGCATTGTTCGCTCCACTTCCGCCAAACACATTGCAGCCCTTATTCCCCCATCGTGCCCCCTTTCCATAGCAAAGCCATTGCCTTTCTAGTCACATCCGTTTGGCTTTTGTCAGCACATATTGCGCCCCGAAGCGACAGGCTTTAAATTTGCACTCAACTGCGGTATGACTCCCACAATTCCCCGAACCCCCATCTCCTCTGCACATATTCACTGCTTTGTCACCAGCAGCATTTTCGCTTTCCACACTTTGCAATTGGCTTACTCCTTATCCTTAGCTTGCACATATATAGACATATTTATATATATATAAGTATATATATACATATACATATATGTATATATATTTTTGGGCTTGATGCTTTCAGTCATTGAATTTCAATCAAATTTGCTGCGATAGCCACAAAATGCTATTGGCTTTGGCTATACAAATTTGAAGACTCTGCTGCCAAATGCAGCTACAAATCGTTTAATCCAATTAGGCAACGCAAAGTAAAATGCTGCAAGTGATTACGCTTTGGTCCGATGGACCGGGTTAAGAGCAGATTTTTTTGTTTTTTTTTAATGCACAAGCAGGCGCTCTAAAATGCAAACTTTTGTCGAAAGTCGAATAGTCTTGCAAATAATTCACATTGGCTCAAATAGTACACAAAATATAACATTTTAAGCAGGTCTAAATAAATATACGAGATGGGGGTACCTTTACAGATTATGGATGATAAGGCAGGTGCACAAGTAATTTTACAAGATTTTCTCCTACGTTCGAGGAAACAGGCTATCGGTGATCGCCATCTTCAAGTCTGTAGGCCCCACAAATATCGATAAATTAATCGTGGTTAGATCAAATGTTGCCATATCGCAAAAATTTCGTCATTTATTCATTTACATGAAAACTTCAAAAGTTAGACTAGAGCGTTTTATAGCGCTGTTATTGTCCACAACAATATTACCAAAATAAATCAATCATTAACAAATTGTAACACGTCCAGTGTTTCGCAGTGGGCAACCTTGGCTAGCTCAGTATTCCCAGAGGTGGGTAACTCCAACCCTGCCCGTGGACGGTACAGACAAAAAAAAACTCGACCTGCACAACACTACATAAAGACCTATATGCACACACAAAAACAAACGAAACAGCTGACGGGCCTGGTGTTTATGGCCACGACGTACCCGCCCTTCCTGCAATGGGTTTGCACGGATTCGAATTGCCAATCGCCCTTATTGTAGTTGACGACTAATTTATTCCATGCTCCCGGTGATTCTCCCCTGTATTTAACTTACTCACAGATCATCGTTATTTCCTTACAATTTATTAACAAACATTACATGGTATGAAGTATTAATTACTGAATACGC